GATCCCTGCTCGGCTTCCTGTTCCTGACTATCCGGTACTCCTGTTCCCTGCTCGGCCTCCTGTTCCCGACCATCCGGTGTTCCTGTTCCCTGCACAGCCTCCTGTTCCAGCATTCCTGTTCCCCGCCCGGCTCTCTGCCTCGGACCTTGCCCCTCTTCGTGTGGACTCTGCTACACCCAAGGTACCTTACCCCCGGGACCAGCACAACAATGCTAAACAGCACTATGGACTTTATACAGTTCTTCTGGTCTTTGAAGTAAAGATGCTTATTTACGGAGAGATCCGCTAATGCTATCACCATGCTAGCTGACACTGTTGTGTAAATCCCACAGCCTCTTCCCTCACAGATTCAGGGTTAGACCCTGACAGCAAAGCAGGATAGCATCAGGACAGGACTTCACATAATGAAAGCAATGCCCCAGAGACGATTATACCTGTCTCTACATTCCTGAACCAATGGGAAGGTGATGCACATGCCAGTCACGCACACGACCTTGCTGGTGTTGCTACGGTAACCCCAGTGCACCTGGCACCCTTATCCCAGAACATCCAGATGTGCTAACTCAAGACATGAGACCAACCACTGTGCCATTTAAACCATTGTTCACATTGCACCAACACAGAGCGGTCACTTGCAGTCACATGATGCGCCATGTTTTCCCCCCGTGACCCACATTGCTAAAAACTGTCCTTCCTTCCCAATCCCGGTGTCCTCCAGATGTTCTGGACTTCAGCTCCCATCAACCCCAGTATCAATGGGGTTCACTCACACTTCCATTTGTCCGGTGATTTCAAGTCATAGGTCTGAAAGGCTCCTTTTTTTGTCCCGCTGTTGAATCGGAACAAATGTCAATCAGGTTCTCTGCGGATTGACATTTGTTCCAATTCAGCGGTGAGCAACGGGTGTTCCAAGGAAAAGCGGCGGAAAAAGACGAAGAACCTCTTTGACCTGTGACTAGAAATTATGGGGCAACCAGAAGTATGGGTGAGCCCATGGTCATGCTGGCTATGGCAGATAAAGAGATGGTAGCGCAAAACATCTGGAGGGCACCAGGAGCAAAGCCATCACGGTAAGGTAAAGGTAAAGGGACCCCTGACCATTAGGTCCAGTCGTGACCGACTCTGGGGTTGTGGCGCTCATCTTGCTTTACTGCCCGAGGGAGCCAGCGTACAGCTTCCGGGTCATGTGGCCAGCATGACTAAGCCGCTTCTGGCGAACCAGAGCAGCGCACGGGAACGCCGTTTACCTTCCCGCCAGAGCGGTACCTATTTATCTACTTGCACTTTGATGGGCTTTCGAACTGCTAGGTGGGCAGGAGCAGGGACCGAACAACAGGAGCTCACCCTGTCGTGGGGATTCGAACCACCAACCTTCTGATCGGCAAGTCCTAGGCTCTGTGGTTTAACCCACAGCGCCACCCGCGTCCCTGCCATCATGGTTAGTAGGCATCAATAGCCCTCTCCTCTATGAACTTATCCAATCCTGCTTCTTCTGGCACGCCAGGCCCTCCACCATTGCCTCCAGCTCCTCTAGTGCTGGCGGCCTTGCTCTGGACTTGACCCCTGCTGTGTTTTGGACCCAGGCACTTCCTGTGGGCTCAACTTGGACTGGCAGCCAGCTCTCTCCTGCTCACACACACACACACCAGCTCCTGGAACTCTGCGAGGACCCGGCTTCTCCTGATGGCAAGCACAAAAGCAAGGGAGGCCGCCCAAGGCCATATTGGTAGCCAGGATCAGTGTAGGGCAGCCCCCAGCAGCCTCCCCACCTGCCTCCTAGACGCCGTGCCACTTAGGTGTGGAGGCCTGAACGTGCAGAGGATGCAGACCAAAAGTCTGCTGCTTCCATTTGAGCTCCAAACCAATCCAAGCGATCTGGCTGCCACCCGCTGGGTGAGAAAAGAGGCGAGAGACACACACGCAGGCTCCAGCCTAGGCTCAGACCCTCCCCAAGTGCAGAGTCTCCTGCGATTCTGCACCACAAACAGCAGAGGGAAACGGCACTCAAGGATGGGCGCAGAGCTAACCTGGCTGGGAATTGTTAGCTGTCCAGAGAGGGCGGCAGCGGCGGCTCACCACTGGCACACGGTAAATATGGATCTCTCTCTGTCCCTGCTCACCCACTGCACCACCCAGCCTCCCCCCAGCCTGTGTCAGCTGCCCTCCTCACCTTCTCCCAGTAGAGGCGAAGCTGGCTCAGCCACTCAAAGGACGTCACATCAATCAGGCCACTCTTGTAGAGCCTCTCAATGACATCCCGGGCGTGGACCTCCACCGTCACCAGCGCCACAATCTTCAGGCGCATGATCTTCGTCAGGTTGCCTCGAATGGCCTCCGAGTACTTGTTCAGCATGGACACCTGCGCGGGGAGCAAGGGCCTGATCGTGGCGGGCAAAATGGAGCTTCCGTATTCAGTTGGGCCAGGAAACCATGGAGGAGG